TTAATGGTATTCATATCATGTAATACGAGTGGACAGCAGTGTGAGCAAACATTTAGTTTCCCTTTCCCATTTTTTGTTTTAGTTCAAATGTTGTGAAGTAATGTACTTTTCACTGTTGCACACGTTTATAAAGACCAGCATGAAACAACGTAACACATAGTGATTAGGACGCACAGGAGAAAGTATCTGGATACGCTTTTAGTCCCTCTACCCTAAAAGTGTAGTTTTCCCACAGCTGCTGACGCATCGTAATAACGTTGACCAGTGTCTCTCTTCACAAGTCCTGGGCTGCGTATCAGGTCGACTATTTTCATTTCCTCGGTCTCGGTCTCACCGGAAGTTGATTTGTCTGCGCCATCTTGAGTAGCGTCCCATGGCACTTATTTCTGCCGGAGGAGCGAGGAGCGATAATGGAGGAGCAATAACCAGACCATCCTCCGATGAAATCCTCAGATAGTGAGGGAAGCAAGGATTTAATTTAACCGACCTGAGACGGGTCCCTGATGAATTCTCCTTCACATCTTTCCTTAACAACATGGCTGCTTCTCAGGTCGGTTAAATGAAATCCTTGCTTCCCTCACTTGCGTCGTTTCCCTGCGTCTAGTCCCTCCCACCAGGGAAGCATGGAGGGACGCAAGGAAACCACGAGAAGCAGGGAAATTAGTTTTAAGAGCAATGGGACGTCCTTTCCTCCGGAGCGTCACGTGAAGCGACGTCCGTTTGTGATGAAGCTGCACAGCTGATCGTCTGACAGCAGCTCTGTCCCCGTTATTTCCACACACCCCCCCCGCCTCTGTTAGTGCACATTTACTAGTGCTGTAGCGACGCGTCGACTTCAAAATATCGTCGACGACATATTTCCGCGTCGACGCGTCGCTACACACACGTGAGTCACCCAAAGCAACAAGCAGTTCGCAATCGCACTTCAAACACAATGGAGACTGAAACGGCTACCACCTCCTCCTCACAGGATTGCGCACGAAGCCCCCAAACGAAAACATCTCGCCCTAGGTCTTCAAAAGCATGGGAATATTTTAAAGTTAGTCCAAAACGCAAAGATATTTATATCTCACTGAGACTTCTGCATAGCCTAGCAGAAGCAGCAGCTAGCTGTGGTGGCTACCATTAGCAGCTAGCATTTGCTCTCCGATTTTTACATAAAATGGAATTATGGATTATAAATTCAATCATTTTTTTATATATAGACGTTAAAAACCTATGGATTAACCGATTCAGCCGCGTTTTTTCTCATTTTATTGCCATTGAACACGTCTTTTGATCAGATTACGGTGGTGAGACGATCTCCCGAGAAGCTCTGTGAAGGTACGTGTTGTGATGACTGTATTTGCTTCCCCTGTCGCGAGTCCGGATCACTCAGTGATGATACTATATACCTACATAATCTGTGGAGTCTCAGCTTTAATCGGATATATTGTATGTGCAGCTACGATAAGTAATAAGGGTACTTTTATCTTGAGTTCTGTGCCAATGTCCGTTAGCATTTTTCGCTCAGGGGTCATTTAGATGCTTCTTATGAGACTTGTGTTTTGTTTTGGTAAACATGGTTTGTATCGTCAGTTAGCTGAGATTATTTCCGTTAATCTGGTATAACACATTAATAGGTTCTTAAATATTAAGATCCCCTGAGACACAGTATCGTGACATTTTTTTTTTTGACATTACGTTTTTTTTACATTACGTTTTTTATTAATTGAACAACAGAAAAATAATCGTTAGATTAGTCGACTAATCGATCAAATAATCGCCCGATTTATCGTTTTCAAAATAATCGTTTCCCCCCAGCACTAACATTTACTGACACAAACATATGTATCATCTGTTGTAGACCCAAATAAATAAAATAAAATAAGAACTAATTCTCAAAAAAGATAAACGCCATTCTTAAAATGTATAAACGAACATTAGTTTGATTAATATTGATTAGAGTGCACAATAGAAATAAAATAATTGAGAGAAGAAAAAGAGATATGTTATCTATCAAAACCCAGTTAGATTAACATTCATTGGATTGCACACTTTGTTTGTTTGTGTGGATATGTAGTACATTAACATTTTAATAGCACTTAATGACTGACTGAATGGAAATGACAGTAAATGAAAATGTAAAACGAAAAAAGCGATCATGAAAATGTCTCCAACAAATGAATAAAATGATTTGTGACCACTTTGTTGTTCAGATATATCACATATTTGTAACTAAATGATCCATGAATTGAAAAAAAACACGGTATAAACTGAGGAGTGACTCCCGTGAGGTTCATGTGTTTTCTTCACTCCGCTGGGAAACTGCTCTCATGTCAAGAAGCATCAGATCAGTGCATGCACTGCATCGTCCAATCAGTGAGCGATACACAGTAAGGGGGCGGGGCGAGTGTCTCAGGATTTCATCGAAGGATGGTCTGGTGGTTCCTCGGTTATAGCTCCTCGCTCCTCCGGCAAAAATAAGGCCATTGGAACGCTACTCAAGATGGCGCAGACAAATCAACTTCTGGTGAGACCGAGACCGAGGTCGTTTCTCAATCGCGAGTACGCTTGCTTGGTAGCACATGTCTTCCGAGTCACTTGCTTCAGAAGCGAGACAAGAATCCTTCCTGGCATTCAGAAAATGAAGAGTGGAACAGGCTAGCAAGTGTGCGTCATATGAGAGGCCCCGCCTTACATTTTCCACCACAGATTTGGGGAAATTGGTCCGTGCGCAAAGCATTGTGGGGATTTGAAGGACACGAAGTCTACCCATGTGCAGCCTCAAAATTTCCCCCACACCAAGGACGCGGCCTCGGTGGAATTCCAAGTATACTGGACATTGGAACGGTCCTGCTGCGCCACTTGATGACGTAGCATCCTTGAAATATTGGCTTGGAAGCCAATATCCTCGCGATTGAGAAACGGCCCGAGGAGCGAGGAAATGAAAAATAAGAGAAGTGAAACGCAGCCCATGACTGTTTTCACAGGGGTTGAGGAGAAGTTGCTAGCAAAAGACGTAGCTGGAGACACGGGACAAGATACTTTCTGGAAGCAGGTGGAGAGTGAAACAATGTCGCAACTGAGAGAAGACATGTAGAAGGCACAACCGAACTTACCTATTTACTTCGGGGGAAAAAAGATTATAAAATAGTTGGCAATTAATTTAACAAGAGAATTGTATAATCTTTGCAGATAGCGCATTATGTATGTCATTCTTTACTTTCTTTATGAACTTTTTAGGTGTCTCTGAGCACTGGAGAAAGAGTTATGAATATACATGATACAAATATCCCATATTATTGTTGAATGAGCCTGATTTCTTTGTAACTCTAAAACTAAGTTTGCCTTTGATAGCAGCAGTGTGCGGTACCGTGTTCACCTCTATGGTGTAGAGCAGGTCTCCCATCACGTTCCCTGCCAGAGCAGAGTTGTGTCTGGAGAACATCTCTCCCTGCAGCTCCACCAGCAGCCACTCAGCAGGACTGCTGCCATCCACACTTGATCTGCAGGAGCACCAACACAGCCTCACATCAACTGAAGGACTTCGTTATACACATGAGATATCCTCCACCACATGTCAGAGTCCTGCATTATCAACCCTACATAAGTAAAAGTATGTAAGTATTATCATCCATATTCACTTAAAGTATGAATAGTAAAAGTAGTGATTGCGCAGTAAAACTTTCTCTGTGATTTACTTTGTGATTAATATTTCTGCAGCATCATGTGTATGTTGAGTTTTCCTGCTGTAGGAGTTTTTAAGGTTCGGTTCAACACATTTATATACTGGTAAATCTACAGCAATGCATGACATTAATATGTATGTAGCTCTGTTGCTGTCCTGTGAGAAGCACTAAGTAAAGTCAACTTGTGAAGATGTATTTTCCACCGGACCCAAGAGGATTCTAAATGTTTTTCAACGAGAAAGAGAAGAATTGTCAATACAAACGACCAACACCTATCAGGGTTAAACACAGGTACACGGTTTTCACTGGACAAGAAGCTTTTACAAAACTTTAATCTAAATATCACTCATAAATGTTGCTCAATAGGAAGTGCAACGCTTCCCTCTGAGATGTAGTGAAATAGAAGTATAAATGTGCTAAAGTAAAGTAACTAAGTAGCCTACTACTTAGTAAATATACTTACATCACTCTGGTTCACTCCCTACATTCTCCATAAACGTGTTCCCTAAGAAGTGTTTTGTCCCTGTGCTATCTCATTCACAGTACCGTTACACTTCTATTACAAATGATCAGTGGTGTAAAGTAACTAAGTACATTTACTATTGTACTTATACTTTTGAGAGACGTGTACTTGAACTGAGTATTTCAATGTGTTACTACTGTTTACTTCTACTCCACTACAAATCAGAGGATAGTAGTGTACTTGTATTTAATAAATGTAGTTACTTCACAGATGTGGATGAATGATGTGAAATATAATCAAGTGTTGAATCAGACTTTAGTTCCACCTGGAGTAAATCCACCAGCTACCCTGCAGTATACAAAGTCATTCAAACTAGCTGCACCTTTACCAGCTTTGAGAACACTTTCATGATCAATCATTATAAAACATATCATATATATTATTCTGAAATCTGCACAAGGACTACTTTTACTTTAAGTCAATTTTGATGATAAAACGTTTGTACTTTTACTTGAGTAACAGGACTTTTACTAGTAACAGAGTATTCCTACACTCTGGTACTACACTATCTGAGTACTTCCTCCACCCAGGGACTCCTCCAGGCGGTATACACAAACCTTTAGGCTGAACACATGCGGTGTATCTTACCTTATGACTATTTGAACCATCGTGCTGTTAGAGAGCGGACACCGTGCTGCAACACGAACAGGATGAAACAGACCGACACGTTACCGAGGCATTACAAGTGCCCAACACAGCAGTAACTATACGAGAACAATAACCAACAATAGCATTCAGAATGCTGTGTTTATACAGAAACGTTTACAGTATGTGCTTCATAGTCTGCTAGTATTTCCCGCCACCGGTTTCCTGCTGTCAGTGTGATGACGTTGTTCCGGTTTGTGCAGTGTGTTTGTCAAATTCATTTCCGGTTCATAGGTTCACAACGTGGCTGCGGATGTTTTCCAGCGTGGGGTTCACAGCTCAGAAAGTGTAGACACTGTGAGGATAAACAGCAGGTAATTGTTATATTATTATTATTATGAGTTATGACGGTTAAACTGAGCTTTATTTATATATACTGACAGTGTGTCTCCCTGGGAGGGGTGTGCGTGTGTGTGTGTGGGGTAACGGACAGCTCTACGGTTATGTTTTGCCTAGCTGTAACAGTCTTCCTCTTGCGTTTTTCCTCAAAGTAAAATGGCTGAGTTCAAGGTGCACCGTGTTCGCTTCTTCGACTACATGCCCACTGCTATCCGAGCCATGGCGTTTAACCCCCGCACGGAGCGGCTGGCTGTGGCCCGGGCTGATGGAGCTCTGGAGATCTTCAACTTCGCGGACAACTACTTCCAAGAGAAGGTAACCTGCACTAAAATACAGCTTTCCCTCCAGCCCCAAGTTTTGTCCAGAGAAATAAATAAAATACAAAAAAACACAACTCTGCTCACAAACCATAAAGATAGAGATAGGTACTTTATTTGATCCCAAATTGGGAAATTATTTAGTGACAGTAGCAGGAGTGTGTTCAGGTATTACAATCTTCAAATAAAACAAGTAAAACACAAATAAAAGGTAAAAATAAAACAATAACAGCCATATAGTAAAAACAATAGACAATTTAAAAGAACTTTCCTACACGACCCACTCTGTCTGGAAACAACAACTGAACAGCACTAACATTCAAACTGTCTTGAATGAATGAAATGAGCCAGCCGGTGGTGTTTTAAAGAAAGCTCTGAACCCTTAGGGCTTCATCTTCAGTTCCACTTTTCTTTCCATGCATTTTCAACATGTTTTGATGTTGATCCACAGGTCATCCCAGGGCAGGACGGCCGGGCTGCGGAGGCTCTGTGTTGGCTGGGCCAGCGCCTGTTCAGTGCCGGGCTGAATGGAGAGATCACAGAGTATGACCTGGAGAACCTGAGACCCAGGTACACAGTGGAGGCCTATGGAGGACCAATCTGGAGCATCAGTAGCAACAGCCAGGGAACCCTGCTCGCGGTCAGTCAGCACCTTGTGGATATTTAATCTACTCTACTCCTGATGCTAATGTTCTTCCGCCCAGCGTGGTGACCTTGCTCAAAGTCGATAATAAATTGACTGAATGTTTTCTAATCCAGGTTGGTTGTGAAGACGGGACAGTGAAAATATTTGAAATACTGGAAGAGAGGATTCAGTTTCAAAGAAACCTCGACAGGCAAAAGGGTAAGATTCAAATTGACCCAGAGGTATTTCTGCTCTTCAACTGGCAGTTGTATAAATATATAGATAGGCTTACATTGGACAGTATCCAGCAATGTTATCACACATTTACCCTGTATCATAGCTAACCTAATAACAAAAGGCCTGTGATTACATTTGTATTTTTTGAAATAAGTGTTAGTTATATTGCAGTTTTATTCGCAAAAATGTAATGTGCAATATTGAACTATTTCTCAATCCAGGTGTTTTACACCATTAGTCAAATTATTAATGAAATCCATGCAAAAAATATAGCTTACAGTTGACATGTATTGGGACATCCCTAGCTTGAATAATAACACAATGATTGAGCTGCTTGATTTGACAAGTTATGATCAAATGAAACATTCATTTTAAGAATTTTTTTTTAACTTAAAACCATTGTTTTTATTTGTAACCCTTTCTCTGACTTGGTGACATTTTGTTTCCTGTGATCTTCTAGGTCGTATTATCTCTCTCTGCTGGCATCCCTCTGGTACATTGATAGCTGCTGGCATGATGGACATGATAAAAATCTTTGATGCTGAGTCAGGTCAGTAGATACATTCCATCCGGGAGTTATTAGCATCATATAAGTTTCATGTTTGTTAACTGTTTTTGTTTTCTACTGCCACGTCAGGCCGTGCCACACACAGACTGCTGGTGGAGAGAGGAGTCGGAGCATCAAAGAGTAGAGAGGTGGTGGTTTGGAGCATCGCCTTCCTGTCAGATCACACTATCATCAGCGGTGACTCGGCAGGAAAGGTCCAGGTCTGGGATGGACTCACAGGGACTCTGGTCAGAACCCACCTAGTCACCAAGTGGGACGTTCTGGCCCTGTCTTCTTCCCAGGTAAGTGTGCAACCAATAATTAGAACATTCATAAACCCCTGATCTGAGGTAGTGTTATTGCACAGCCCATAGATCCAGTAACGTACAACTGTCCACATAATTCACAGGACGAGAGCAGCGTGGTAGCCGGGACGTCAGAGGGAACGGTGGTCCAGTTTCAGTTCCTCTCCTCTAATGTTGGCCAGCAGGATAAGGAATGGGTCCGAACAAGGACCTTTAAAAACCACTCCCATGATGTGAGGGGGCTCGCTCACACCGACACAGCTGTGGTTTCTGGAGGTCAGTGCTTTTTTGTTTTGTTTACGTTAATCAACTTGGCAGTGTTATCCAAGGCAAAGTGTATGATATTAAAAGTTATGTCCAATATTATTTTAATGCAAACGCATCATCACATCCTTTCAATTATTTCAGTTTAACTTAGTGTTAATTTCGTTGACTAAAACTATGACGAAATATGTTCGTCAACGACCTTTTTTTCCATGACGAAAACGAGACGATGACGAGACGGCACCGTTGGCAGTAAACAATAACTGTAACGAAATCATCATGCATTATCGTTGACGAAAAGTAACGAGACGAAAATGTAGTTTACTAAATAAAAACTATGCCAAAATCTCTCTTTACTTTCGTTGACGAAAAATGAGGAGACGAAATATTATCAAAGATAACGTTACATCTCTGATAGTCAGTTTTTCTCCCAGCAGTTCCATTTCCGGTGCTGTGGCCGGGCAGCAGCTGTGTGTGTCTGCGGTGCGCGCGGCGGTACATTTGAATTACACCGGGCAGCGGCACACTGTGAACTGTCAGGAAGACTCTGGTCTAACTCATGGTCTAACTAACCTTATTCAACAGAAAATAAAATGGCAACAACAGGGCTTGGGAGCAGTGGTCGCACTTGCGTTAACCGAATACCCCCTGTCAGCGCGAGTGAGTGATACATTGTGCACTCGACGGATAATAATGGATTATGATGGAAATGTTACGATCCTGTCCGTCAAAATGACTGACAATGAAAAAGTCTAAAGCCACCACTGCTTGGGAGAAAGAAACGATGTGATATTTGGGCCCATTTTAGCTACAATGAGGCGGAGAAAAAAAGAGAATGCATTGTTTTATCAGAAGGGAAGCAATGTGGCCATAACACAGCTGGTACAAACACCACAAACCTGACCAGATACTCTCTGCAAAGCTTCTTAATCATTCAACCTGTGTTTTTCATCAAATAAGGACAAGATATAATCTTATTGTGAAATACGTTTGACTAAAATGACAAATTATTGGTTTTGGCTAGACTAGTTTGACTGAAATGTTCTATAATCTGATGACTAAAAAAGACTCAACAGTTTTCATTGACAAAAAGTAGACTAAAATAATTAGTTTTCTTTGACTAAAATAACACTAAAATGCTCAGACTTTTAGTCGACTAAAACTTGACTAAATAAAAACAGGATGAAGGTGACTAAATATGACTAAAACTAAAAAGGAAATTTAATACAGGACTAACGGCCCGTCCACACAGCGGCGTGCGTTGAAGCTTCCAACGCTTCTGCCCATTCACTTTGAATGGGGTGACGTCACTTTTAGCCGAACTGCATCGTGGGAGGCGACGCGGAGCGTTGCTGGCGTGGCTCGCTGCAAAAGTTGAGCAATGTTCAACTTTTGACGCCTCGGCAGAAGCGTCAGCCAATCGAATCATATGCCAGTACAAGCTCTAGCCAATCAAACCGCTGCTTGTGTGTCAGGGGCGGGAGATTCATGTGATTGGTTGTTGGTCGAGTGTCAGACACACCCGCCGGCAAGCGTCAACGCACGCCGCTGTGTAAGACTAAAACTAAATAAAAAAATAGCTGACGAAATTAACACTAGTTTAACCCCATGAGTGCTTCATCCAGAGGAGTTGAACCTCTGCATAATGCCATCAAATCATGAATAAACCAACACAGAGACTTATCATGTTGGTGTCAGTTCAGATTTTTCAGTATTACTTTATTGTGATCCGCTGATATGAAAGAATATGGTAATGTTTTGTCAGGTATGGACACCCAACTGGTAGTGCGCCCCCTTTTGGACAAGGTGGAGAAGAACACCCAGGAGTCAGCACTGCGCAAAATTGCTTTCCCACATGTAAGCACAGTTCATCACCTTGTTATGTTGCAGCTATATGCTTTAACTGTTGCTAATTGATTATACATTCAATACATGGTAATTACAAGGTTACAAATTAAAACACTTTTTTTTGCAAATTGATTTAATATAAACTGAAGTATCACAGTGGCATTATTATTCAGACTGTTCTTTCTGACATTTGGAATGTAGCACAGGTGCCTCCCATCATAATATTTCTGATGTTTCTACCCTTTCATTCGGAAAGGCTTTCACCAGGACTCAGAGCTGATATAGCTACATTTGAAAACATTTAGCTATATCAGCTGATGAGGGAAAAATCAATGAAAAAGATTTTAGGATAAATCTGCAATTTATTTTCGGAATGCACTGTATAGGGGGCATCTTAAAGGCCAATGTTTCCATGACGACCTGCTAACCTCTGTGTGTTCCCTGTAGAGAAGCCTGGTTTGTTGTGCAAAGAAAGCAGGACTGCTGCTCTTCCAGTTCCCCGATCATTTGGAGCTGTGGAGACTAGGGGAGAGTAATGGACATGGTGAAGGCAACACACACTCGCACACAACCAGTTACACATTATAATGTAAGCAGTAAAAGTAGTTGGGTACTGACTGCACAGCTGCAATACTGTAATGATTTGTTATGGTAACAGGAAGTCCTGGTGACAGTCTGCCTGTGAAGAGGAAACCAGAGAAGCTGATCCAGCTGAAGAGGAAGGTGTGTACTAACGTTGTGTATCTAAACCGATCAGCCATAACATTATGACCACTGACAAGTGAAGGGAAGCACATTGATTATCTCGTTACAATGGCAACCGCTTTTTTTTTTGCGTTTCCACTAGGGGTAGTTCCGGCTAATGGGTACTGTTTCACAGTTTTTCTGGCCCCCCAAAATCCAGGTTCTTTCCGGGCCAACAACCGGGCTGAGTATGCTCAACTAGAGAGAGAATCGCTGGCAAGGGGGCTGTTATGTGCCATCATGACACGCATGGTGTTCTTTTTTTATATATTATAATGAAGCGCGAGCTGTGTGCTCGAGTCTTCCTGCCTGTCGGCTCTGCTCATCGGTGTATAATAAGGCTCTGCTGCTCCGGTATGAGGGTCTAGCTTCAGCAGCTACATTACCTACGTGTGCGTTCGTTAATATTAACTGTGCGGTCCGGAGTCACTGTGGCACAGACTGGACCGCTAGTGAACAGCTGTTAGAACGGGGCGTTCAGGTGTTCAGAGCAGAGCTCCCTGTCGGAGCGCAGAGCGTGATGTGAACTGAGAAGTTTTTCTGTCGCAATATTATCGTTGAGCTAGCTAGCTAGCATACATTATCACTATCTGCAAAATAAATCAAGTAAAAAAAAATAATTCACATTTATTTTTCTTTATTTTTCAATATCGCGATAAATATCGTACCGTGGACTTTTTATCGCAATAATATCGTACCGTGAGTTTTTTGGTATCGTTACATCCCTACTTTGTATACTGCAGGGTAGCTTGTGGATGTACTCCAGGTGGAACTAAAGTCTGATTTAACACTTGATTAGATTTCACATCATTCATCCAGATCTGTAAAGTAACTAAAGGTATTAAATACATATAGTGGAGTAAAAGTACACCATTTACCTCTGAACTGTAGTGGAGAAGAAGAACAAAGTAGCAAAACATTTAAATACTTAAATAAAGTACAAGTATCTCAAAATTGTACCCAAGTATAGTACTTGAGTTTATGAACTTAGTTACTTTACACCAGTGGCTATAAAGATAGAAAGACTAAGCCTTGCACAGAGGCATGAAAATACATTTTCAAAATGCTCAACAGTGCTGCCAACATTATAAACTGACTGCTACACAATTAAAATAAATGCTTTTATATATTTCTATTAGATGTGACTCTTTGGCATTTCTTTTATTATTAACACTGCTGCTTTAGTTGTTCTGACTGCTAAAATCCTCTGTTATTCTTAATTTTAAAGCTGATATTCCGTGGGGTCGGGGGGCTCGGATCCTTGTCACCTTTTTCATACCTGATGAGTTTGCATCCCTGATACTGATACCGGTTAGTAAAAACCATGAATTAATGCTTTGACAAGTCTGCAGACAGACGGCAGGCGAAAAACCTTTTTAAAATGCGTGTTTTCTAAATGGAGATCGCCTAAGCTAACGCAGTATATGCTCCGACCGTCCACACTCACAACGGCCTATTCAGACATAAATAAACCAGCGACTGTATTCACCATGACACAGACAGTCTGTGGTTTGTACTTGTTTAACTTTAGTCTAGTTTCTGAACAGATATGAGGAGCTGTGAGCTCTGAGTGCTAACAGCTAACGGCTGGTGTTGGTTTTCTGTGGTTCGCATTGAAGATGACTTCACGGCTCCGCCTACACTGCGTGTGAGCCTGGCCTACCAAGGCCTAACTAAGCCGTGCGAGGCCCTGCAGTGGAAATGCGCCATTACAGGACTTAAAGGACCTGCGACCAGATACCACAGCACACCTTCAGAGGGTTAGTGGAGGCCATGCCTCGACGGATCAGGGCTGTTTTGGGACCTACACGATATTAGGCAGGTGGTCATAATGTTATGGCTGATTGATGTATGTGTGTGTTTTTAAATGTACACCTGAAATCTGGTGGAAGCCTGCTGCCTTACTTACCCATCTGTAAGACAGGTCCAACAGTAATTTCAGTTATTCACTTCAGTTCTCTTTGTTTACTCTTGTTTGTCCGTCATCGTCAGTCAGTACACCTGGAGGGATTTTCATAAGATGTGTAAAAGCTCACTGACCTCACAAAAAAGTTCTAATAGGATAACATAATAAACTGATGACATTTGGAGAGATATGGATGTTAACTAGGGGTGTAACGGTTCACAAACATTTCGGTTCGGTACGTACTTCGGTTTTTTGGTCACGGTTCGGTTCGGTACGTTTTCGGTACAGCAGAATTTTTTTTCACAAAACAAAACATATATATATATATTTTTATTATTATTATTAAACTGTGAATAATGTATTCACTCAAATAAATACAAAATATAATAAAATAAACATTAAGGTGCAGCATTTCGATGAACTGAAATAATCTGTATTTGAACTTTACTGTACTAGTACTCACAAAACATAAACTATTAGTTTTGGGTTTTTAATTATTATTAAACTGTGAATATTCACTCAAATAAATACAAAATAAAATGAACATTAAGGTGCAGCATTTCGATGAACTGAAATAATCTGTATTTGAACTGTACTGTACTAGCACCTAAGCAGCCAGTTTGACATTAGGACTTGCTTGTCATTGTATTTTCATGTTTTTTTAAAGAAAAATTAACTTGTCCACATTGCTTGCCGAAAAGGCAGATCTGCTGGCACTAACAATGTCTCCTGATGTGGAGAAAACCCTCTCGCTAGGGACAGAGGTAGCAGATACAGCCAGGTAGCGCTTTACTAACATGGCAACATAAGGATATTTGGTGTTTGTAATAGCTTTGGCTCGGTCTGATCTTTTTGCGAGTGGTGGAGGCTTAAATGCTAGTGGGAGTTGGGTTTGCACTTCAGTCTTTTTTCTTTTGGTACCGGTGATATTCACGTTCGGGTGATGCCTTTTCAAGAGTGTGCAAGTTTGATGTATTGCCAGCCGCGTAACCAATGTTAGTTGAACAATGCCGACAAACAGCTTTGGTTCGGTCCACCTGTCTTTGTCCGTCATCCTTGTACGTAACTGTGAAACCAAAATGTTCCCAAACCGGAGACTTCAATGATGCTGGAGGATTTTCGAGCTCAACTTTATCTGCGTTCGCCATTAATTTTTGACAGTTCCTCAAATTACTGACTACATTTGAACGCATCCCTCTGACCAGCTCTCATAGTATGCCTCTCATCCAATGAAATGACTTGCTCGCTCTATGACGCGTTGAACCCAATGTGAGCAAGTTACTCTGAATGCTGCGACGCAGCACCTGAGATTACTTCCAAAAAGTTATTCACGTTCTCAATTTTTTACGTTTAACGTTATATTCGTTCGGTACACTTCGGTACACACCTGTACCGAACCGAAGGGCCCGTACCGAATAATTTCGGTACGGGTACGTGTACCGTTACACCCCTAATGTTAACTGAACATGACCAGTTTCATGGCATATAACCTTGAGGTGGTCATTTTAATTTAACTAAGCATTTCTTAGTTGGCCAAGTTTGTGTTAACATACAAGGAATGTGACTTATTCATACATATATGATCTTTGAGATGACAGGACATTGACCGTGCTGTCTCCGCAGGGCGAGGATCATATCAGCTGCAGCGCTGTGTCTCCATGTGGAGGCTGGCTGGCGTACTCCACTGTCTCCAGCTTCCGTCTCTACAGATTACAGAACAACACCATCAGTGTCACCAAGGTGAGCTCATCCACTTTTTCCATATGCTACTCTCTGTTTGACTTATTGCTCACACATTAACATAGTAGATATACTAGGGATGCTCCGATCGATCGGTCACCGATCGAGATCGGCCGATACTCACTCTCTACCGATCGATCGGTGCTCTCTAAACATGCCGATCGCGAGAGCCGATCGCATGACGTAAAATACATGATACTTTTCTCTGTGTGCGGCAAAACAAGCTCGCCAAAATGGCTTCACCGGTCTGGCATTATTTTAAGGTGTCCGAAAAAGACAGTAAAATAGCGATATGCAACGTGTGTGTGAAGCAGAAATCCTGCAGCTCCGCCCGCCGGACCGGTAAGCGGAGCGAAACACACAAGAGTTAGACCTAACACACTTAGCTATTTTATCTACCTCTGGAACAAGCTAAACTAGTTATAAATATATTTATTCTTCACTGTCGGGTCACTCATTACTGGATCAGTGAGCTGCATGAGATACTGACAGGCTGTCAGGAGAGAGAGAGGGGGAGAGAGAGAGGAAAAGAGAGCGCTTCCGCTCATTTCTCCCGTGTTATTATCCAAAGTGAATGTAAACTTGAATAATGGGGCGGTTTTGGCGCAGTGATTAGAGCGTTGGTCATCAGATCAAGGGGCGTTGGTGAACTCGTTCGAATCCCGCGTCAGGCTGTTGTGTCCTTGGGCAAGACACTTTACCCGCATTTGCTCCTGTGGGTAATGTCCGCAGTAATGACTCTTACATGTCTAATATGTGTAATGTGTACTTGTAAAGCACTTTGAGCACCTGTAAAAGCGCTCTAATAAAAAATGTAATGCATTATTATTATTATTATTATTACTTCATTTGAATGTAATAATTACGTTTTTGGGAGTTTTACGAGGCGTGGTTTGCAATCCGCCCAGCCAATCAGACATAGGAACCTTTTTCTCCGACGAAAGTACCTAGCAGGGAAGGAAAAGTGGGGTAAAAAGGTTCTCATGAACTAATTTTAGTTCCGGCTCTTTTTGGTCTGAACGCGACATTTCGGAACTATATCTGAACTAAAGTGGGAAAAGTACTGCAGTGTGAACGCGCCTATGGCCTCACCATATAACAGTAGAGACTGTCCATCAGAGGTGGGAGTAAGTCCTACATGTGCAAGTCATGAGCAAGTCTCAAGTCTTGACCTACAAGTATCAAGCAAGTCACTGTGGTGAGAGTCAAGCAAGTCAAGTCATTGCTCAGGTCAAGTCAAGTCATACAAAATTCTGATGAATAAGCCCAGTTTCCGCATTTAAATCAGTTAAAAGACAGTGGTTATGAAAATGGATTCAACCCACACTATGATCTTCATTACATACACAGTTAATCATTTGAAAACTAATTTAGACCGATGACAATCATATTAGATTCATATTTACTCCAGAACTGCAGACAATATAGCTAGGACTCAATCAAAATGTCCATTACCTACACATATTTAATTTAAATTTCTGTTAACACTAGAACCGCCAACAGCGTCAGCGCCTATATCATTTTCAAATCATTTAATTTGTTCCTCTTCATAATATCCTTATAAACTAAGTAGGACGATTTAAAACTCACTTAATTTGGTTAATTTTGAAATTGCTTCAGCTTATCATCATAACAGATCAAAAAGTTCAGATTCATTTTACAATAAATCAAGGAATGATGCACTTCCACAAACAAAAACAACATAATTAAAACATTTAAACACACTACTAAAAAGTAGATGAACTAAATTATTCAAAAGTCTACAGTAACTTCTGATAATAACACAGGGGAAATAAACGAGCCATCTCTTTTCCTCTCTCTCCCTCTCCTGACAGCCCGTCACTATCAGGGTTAGTAAAATGAATCCCTTGGAGGTTCTAGTGTTCATTTACCGTTGTCTTCTCTTTGCAATGCTTAATCGATTTGAAACCAAGTCTAACGTAGCTTACACTCAACGTTAGCATTCTAGCTAACACAACACATGCACGTACCTTTCTCTGTGGGTTTTTTTGTAGTGACGAATTAAGTTGGATGTTGTGGTGGTCGTGTCACTGATCTTTATGCTGCAGCCCCTGCATACCGCTGTTCTCTTCTTATTACCGTAATCAACAAAATAATCCTTGAATCCAAACTTCACTATTTTTGGAGTAACGCTAGCCGCTGCCATGTTAACTGACACTCCTGCCTTCTAGTGGGTTGCCAGGTTTGCGCGCATGGCGCTATAATCACGTTTTTCGAAAAAAACTAAACGTAATATCTCACGACAAAAACAAACGCAAATATTTTATTTTAAACAGTCAAGTCATCTATCTCAAGCTTAAGTCAAGTCTCAAGTCATGAATACCAAGTCAAAGTCAAGTCTTTTATCAATGTTAGTCAAGCAAGTCTCAAGTCAAAAAATATGCAACTCGAGTCTGACTCGAGTCAAGTCATGTGACTCGAGTCTGACTCGAGTCAAGTCATGTGACTCGAGTCTGACTCGAGTCAAGTCATGTGACTCGAGTCTGACTCGAGTCAAGTCATGTGACTCGAGTCTGACTCGAGTCAAGTCATGTGAATCGAGTCCCCACCTCTGCTGTCCATATACTGTAGGTAAAGAAGAACCATGATGAAGCTCCCTCCCTCTTCTCCCTCTAGGTGTCTAGACTCCCTAAGGACCTTCGCTCGGCGCAGCAGCTCTGCTTCTCCTCTGACTCCACCAAACTCTTTGCTTCCTCCTGCCGTTCTTCAGTCCTAGTCGTTGACCTTAACCAGTCAGATTGCAAATACCTCCACACCCTCAGACCCAAATCAGGTGAGACTCAGTCCTGCTGTTATGTTATAGCATTGTTAGCAACACATGGCGTGATGATGTTTGTGAAAATGTAAACATTGTGAATCACTAGTCGACTAATTAAGTCTTAACCTCTTAAGCCCCACGGACCCGGTTCCGGGGCCGAAATCGCGTCATTTGCAGGAAACAACGTCTAAGGAACCTTAATATTTAATAAACTATGAATATTTTATATCCATATAACGGGAACAAACTCATTTAACTGATCTTTTTCATTTTTCAAAAGAAAACACAATGCTAACACTGACCCTCTGAATTAGCCCCAAGCGAAAAATGCTAACCTATTACTGCACCGAAAATCACTCCTACCTCCCATATTACTTATCCTAGCTGCACATCCAACACATCGTTTATGATCGTAAAGACACAGAATCTAACGGTGCCCACCTCAACACTGAAAGATACAAACTCGCGACGTTATCAACAAAAACGTACATCAAAACATGTGGCGCTAGGTAGCCTACAACGCTAACATGGCTTACCTTAAAGGGAGGGAATGCTCATGACACGCATTTTTAAATAATTATCATCCGATAAAACAGACCAGTCTCTGCCAGTCTTTTTCTTTTTTTTTTTATCCGATGGCGTTATCAGTGATTTTAAACTGATTAATTACCGAAATAACATCAACTCTGTGGGCGGCGCCATTTTGACGAGTCACATGACTTATTTTACCGGAAGTGACGTGAACTATGCGTTTTGGTGTCGAGGACAAATTGACGGATGTGCTTTGTTCATGTTGTTTACTCTAGTTACTCTCACAATTCTATAGAAATATGCCTCATTGTATCGCGAAACATTGCCACAATTCGGATAGGAACAATCCACGGAATGCTCGGTTCCATCTATTGCCAACGGGTAAGCGTAGGAAGTACGTTCGGAGGCAGTGGCTAGCGAAATGTGCTCGGCCCGAAACGAAAGATCCACAGGCGCATGTATGCAGCGAACATTTCAAGTTTCCGGATGACTACTCTGAGAGTATGATGAAACATAAAATGGGATTTATTAATCAACAATTACTTAATGGGGATGCAGTGCACTGCCAATGCCAGCCAGCGTAAGCACATTACTCAACAGACTTTACTGTTTACTACGTAAGGAAGCAGGAATTGCAGGACCCAGAGCGCACGGAACACAGAGCAGACAGCAGATAACGGAATTGCAGTTTTATTGCTTATAGATTATCAGAACATTTCAAAGGGGACACAGTCACATTGGATATTAACCTATGGATTAACTACATCATCGTTTTTATCGTTGTAATGCCATTGAAGACCAGTTTAGACCAGACAAAGACCAAGGTAAGCCATGTTAGCCTAGCGCATGTTAGTACCTACCGCCACTTGTTTTGATGTACGTTTTTGTTGATAACGTCGCAAGTTTGTATCTTTCAGTGTTGAGGTGAGCACCGTTAGATTCTGTGTCTTTACGATCATAAACGATGTGTTGGATGTGCAGCTAGGATAAGTAATAAGGGAGCTAGGAGTGATTTTCGGTGCAGTAATAGGTTAGCATTTTTTGCTCGGGGCTAATTCACAGGCTCACTGTTAGCATTGTGTTTTTTTTTTGAAGAAAAAAATGAAAAAGATTAGTTAAATTAGTTTTTTTCCCGTTATATGGATATAAAATATTCATAGTTTATTAAATAGTAAGGTTTCTTAGACGTTGTTTCCTGCAAATGACACGATTTCGGCCCCGGAACCGGGTCCGTGGGGCCTAAGAGGATAACAGTTGGATTTGGATGGAATGAATACCTATAGTGATAATTCAAAGTAAGTCCGCCTGGACTTTATTTTTCTAAACTTCTTTCTCGGCTGACGAGTCCGAACTCAAATACTCCGCCATGTTTTCGTCGTGTGTTTACAAAGTGAACGCATAGATGACGTCACGACCTAGTTTTTCGGATCATGTGACTACTGAAAATGGCCAAAATGGCAGCTGCCTGACGGAATATACAGGTTTTGATAAAAAAGAGCTATAAAATCATTATTTACCGGGAAATATCGCTGATTTCTTCAGGGTATGGTTTAAACATTATGTTTCACTAAATACTGAAGTTTTGATTAACTATCTAATGACTGGAGCCTTCCTTTAATAATAATAATACATTTTATTTCTATAGCGCTTTTCTTGAACCCAAAGACGCTTTACATTTGGGAGGGAGGGTAGACAAACAAAACAAAGCCACAAAGAACCAAAACAAAACAGAAAAGCAGTCAGGAGGAAGTTGGTTGAGAAGGGGGGGGGGCTTATGGATACAGAGTTGAAGAGGTGGGTTTTGAAGCGGGACTGGAACAGGGTGAGGGACTCAGACTCACGGAGGTATTGGGGGAGGGACTTCCAGAGCTTCGGGGCTGCCACAGGTTTTGTCTGGTCAAAACTGGTCTTCAATGGCATTAAAACAATAACAACGATGCTGTAGTTAATCCATAGGTTAATATCCAATGTGGCTGTGTCCCCTTTGAAATGTTCTGATAATCTATAAGCAATAAAACTGCAATTCAGTTTTAAAATATCAGAGCAGGCCATTCCTACTGTAGCAAGATTGAATGCGCGAAGACGCAACCTTTTTTTAAAAAACATGAGTGTGTGTGCGGGACGATTTCCCTTCGATTCTATTGGCTCTAACGGTCAGAAAGACCCATGTCAAAATCGAACAAGGGGGGCCAGAGATAAGGAAAATCCACCCAAATGGCCCCAGAAGAGGGTTTTTTTGCTAAATCTGTCTAAAAAGGTCAAATATCTCTTGTTTTGCATCAATCTTGATACAGGGTACTTATTATATGTTGTACTTTGGATTCCTAAAGCTTTTAGTCTACTAACCCATCATCCAAGGTTAGTTTTCACTATAAGTACAACATATCTTTTGGACGGACACTATAATTTACAGTTTTTTACCATGTTCAATCTGAATTTTCTTTAAAATAAAAACATCTATATTGAATCTGACTTTTCTACATCCAACTTACAGGGTTATTACTTTGAGAACAAATATTATTAATTTAACCCTTTTTAGAAGGGAAGATATGGTCATTTGTTCTGGGAATGTCATTTTCGAGCCTGAAACCTGAAAAACAGGCTTGGGGCTTTCGAGCAATTTTTCATTAGTCGAAAAAAATGTATTCTATACAGGGCTCGACAGTAACGGTTGCCAGGTTGCCATTGGCAACCATTCAGAAAAAATGTCAAGCACTTCTTGGCCTTTGGTTGCCATCAGTGGCAACCAGTTTTTAACATAAAGAAATAAGGACAGCAAACAGCAAAATGTGCACCCCAAAATAGATAAATGTTAATTATTTGTTGTATTAAGAGTGATATTTAATTATTGCTGTGACCAGTCGGAACCTGATACTTAAGTTGCACTTGCATTGGTGTGATTACGGAGCCAGAAAGCGATGCAAGTTTACTCGCGTGCTCGGTGCACAAAAAATGCACAAAAAATGGCGACGCAAATTAAGTTGTTTGACTGTGGGGTAAAAAGTTCGGCCAACCTGTCAACATCTCAAACGAATGTTCAAAGTGATTCAACTGATAAAGCGCAAAGTGAATCCGAACGAAAAGCAAAGAGCAAATGTGTAAAGTCTTGGGAGGCGAAATATATATGTTCATTCTGCTCCGTTCTGCATTCACTTCCGGTAAAAGTTCCTTCAAAAATAAGAGTCCTGATCTTATTACTACCAAAATAAAAGTGCAAAACGAAACTTTACCATAGGAAAATATTGGCATACAAATATAATCACTTCTATAAAAAGGTAACACATTTTAAATATAGTTAGACATATTAAAGGTAATTTACAGCATTAATAATTAATATCTAATTCTTAACTGTGAATGGTTTTCATTTATTTAACATATAGTGTTCCTGTTTCCTAACAGTCACTGTCTGCCTCCACAGAGGGGAAAGCAGCATGCCAGGAGGCAGCACACACACACCAACACCGCACATCATTTACATACATATATACACACTTAACCCATAACTGAGTCCTTTTACACCTTCCAAGGGAAAATGTAAGCAGAAACGAGCAGCAGTTCAGTTCCAGAATTTCTTTAGTTCTGTTCAAGTGATTAGTTGCCTTACATTTATTTGCTCACTTACACGTGCACACACACACACACACACACACACACACACACACACACACACACACACACACACACACACACACACACACACACACACACACACACACACACACACACACACACACACACACACACACACACACACACACACACACACACACACACACACACACACACACACACACACACACACACACACACACACACACACACACACACACTTTGGATGAGTAATCACTTTATCCAAATTGTAAATTGTTGCCTTCTTTAAAGTTATTAGTAATTCAAGATTAATTATTAAATTAAATGTGGTACATAACATATAATAAACAACATAACTTTGACTTGATCATTTTGTTCAGAACATTAGACCTTGTCCTCTAATTTCTACTAGAATAAGATAAGTGTGCATGTTTGGGTGTTTTTACACTCCTGTAAAGTACCTAATCTTGTTATCATTTTCATTGAGGAGCTGGGAAAATGGTGTATTGATTAGATTCTGATCCGTGCAAGTCCAATTTTTACTGACTTTAGTTCTAATGTTAATTTGATTTCAACCCATAAGTAATTATTTAGATTAACTCAACATTTCACATGATGGATTAGTGCTCCACATTTTTCCCACTAATTTGTTGTGCAATTACGCCAATGGTAAAGAGAGACATTGATGACCTTGTGTCCCTTTTGTTGGTACGTGGTTCCATTATATCTATGGCCTTGGACGGCTTCACTAAGAGTCACCCAGTTCTGACAGTCCGGCTGAGTGCAGTCACAGAGATGCTATGGCTGCTCTACATGAAATGACATTCCCAGAGACAATGACGCTCCTCAAACTGAACAATACTGTCTCACGTGGGCCACTCCCCCCACCAAGCTATGAACTGAAAGCTTGACATCTGCTTTGAACACCTAGAAGCCTCCCCGCCACACCAGCACCAACCCTTGGGTCAGTTAGATGGGACTAATGGCTTAACTTAGGGCAT